ACACACACACACACACACACACACACACACACACACAACTTTGAAATATCATCAACATATCCCGCACTGGACATCGAGTGACAAATAATTATGTTTAAAAAAAATCTTGTTCTTATCGGTAATACTCACCAGGATTAAGATGTTCACAACGACCAGGACAATTTTCCCAACGATAGACACGACTCCCATTTTGCTTGGTGAAGATCTCTTCTTCGATATCTGTGACGTCAAATGATTAGTTGCTGCTTTTCAAGGATACTCGGGGGCGTTGTAGAATATGAATGATCTCCAGCAAGATACCTAAGTTGGAAAATCTGGAGAGAATATAAAAATATGCTGATTACTTATCAGAAACTATTAGGCATTTTTGTTTGTTTGTTTGTTTGTTGTTGTTTTTGTTTTTTTTTTGGGGGGGGTGTTGATGGGAGGGGTTGTTTTTTTAAACTGTGCCACAGGGCAAGAGAGAGCTTTGTTGGAATACAAGTACCACAGTTGAAAAGGTTTCTGTCGGTGGAAAAACATTATTTGGTGCTGTAATTTACGGTCAAAAGCCGTTTCCCAGTCCTTACAAGAGAAGTCAAGCTTTGTATGCTCGGTAACGTTTGGAAAGTCGTTACGTGAACATTCTGATCTAATGTACGAAAAACAAGGGTGAAATCCCAAAGTAATTGAAAACCTACTTTTTGACCGCTTATCGCGTAAAAGAGTGACTTACATAATAGAAATGAAGACATACGATTCAAAAACACTGTTCTTCCCTCCCCCACCCCTCCTCCCTTTCCCCAAAGATTTCATTAAAAATCAAATCAGTAAAACGTGTGATGTGCTTTACCCTGTCACTCGTAATTTTTGGTGGCCATACTCGTTTGAAACTAACTTCAGTATGCACGTTTGAATCTGCACTTGTAGCAGATTACGGGTTCCGCCAAGCAAAAGTGGCGGCTCGTGAGTCTAAAAAGTGGACGTGCACAATTAGGTTAAAGCATGTTGAAGATAGTCAAGGGCATGTAAATTAGATGCTTTCTTCATCCTACCTGTTTTGAGAAAATATATTTGAAGAAGAAGTTTTCCTTTCGTTCTTTTGCTGGAGCAAAAGCGTCCATTATTCTGTTGACGAAATTGGGCATGCTGTCAATGATGTCCTTGTGGATCGACATAAACGTCAGTGCGATTTCTGGTATTTTGCATGCTTCCCTAAATGGTGTCTCGAATTTGCAGTCCTTCAGAGTTGAATAAAGGTCCTGGATTATACGACACTGAGCAGATTTACATATGTCATTGCAATGTAATACTTATAATTCTCTTTGTAATTTGATTTTACGCAAAACAGTAATATTTCTGTAAACGATCCTAAAAGAACTGTTGGAAACGACGTTTGATAGTCCTGGAATTTGGAGGAATCGCAGATTGAGAGTGTGTTGATTTTACTTTGCTTCAAGAAACTGTCACAATTTGAGTAACTATTATGTCACAGGCCTGCTTTGCAGCAATTTCGTTGGTGTTGTAATGTCTGCGTCTCTTGGAAGCGTGTTTCTCTGTGGTCTGTCTTGTTGATGGAACACGCATACTGTTTCTAATTTCATCGACAGCTACTTTAAACGTGTCTAAAACTTGTTAGGCTGCTATGGGCGTTGTACTTCTGTGTTAGAGGATCCCATAAACAGCGTCAACACGCGTGTACACTTTGTTGAAAAAGTGCAAAAAGAAGACAAAATGTTTCGCTCTTTTATATATTCAGGATACCATCGTGGATGGAATTATCGTCCCAGTGCTCAGACTGAATTTCTTCAAGACAGAGCTGGATCTCTCCTTTCCAAATGAAAACTGCACTAATTAGTCGAGATTGTTACTTGTTTCGGACGGCCATGGAATATTACGGTGACAAACTTCATTCATCCTGCATAGGAATACACACTCGAGTAATAAAACTTTCACCATTACACCATTCCAACTTCCACGCTAACACAATGACCTAATTACGTCATGTTGACCTCGCTCAAGTTCAGGGTTACAGAGGTAGGGGCAGAGATATAATATATGGAAATAGAATGGACCAATCGCACATCGCTGGGAGCACTCCGGTGGATTGCTCCAAAGCTATCATAATACGGGCATTGAATTGTGTAGGCTATCGTGAACTGGTCTGAGATCGCATTATTTTTAGACTGTCTCTATGGACTTTGTTCGGCTGGTGCACATTGAGATTGTGCCGCCTTATTAATAGTTATGAACTAAGAAACTCGGCCAAAACGTCATCGTTGTTTGGGTCTGCCCATAGAGCATTTTCTGAGATAGGTTACACCACTGAACATACTATTTTTTACTTGGGTGAAGCACAAGAACTTGATATGGTATAGTAGATGTTTTAGAGTTGTTGTAGCTGTTGTAATGAACGAATAGGTTCTGGCGAAGAACTTGTACGGAAAACTGATTGGATGATGGATGGTAAAGGTTCTTTTGTTGTCACTTTGTGGGTGTTGTGCGCTAAAATTTTTGGGCGGCAGTGCATGACCGTGCTCTTTGGACGAGCCGCCCCTGAAAAGATCTTGTGACCTGTTGCCCTAACAAAAGAACTTCGCTCTTTAATATCTGATTGTTCATATGCATACTTAAAAGCATATCTCAAGACAACTTCACTAGGTTGGGGGGGG